TTTAGAAAGATTTTGTTTATTTTTATTTTTTATTTTTTCAAATTGAAGATTTGAAATACAATAATTTTTTATAGCTAATGTAATAAGCTTATATTGTAACTATTATGTATTTTTTTTAATTATTATTTCAATAGATTATATTCTTTACATATATCTATTATTTTTTTTAATTTTTTTTGTATAATTAATCTATAATTTATAATCTATAAATCAATACATGATAATGTTGAATAAATTAATGCAACAACATAAATATAAAAAAAAATTATAGATTATATATAAGATTTGTTAATTTTTTATTAAAAAGAATGTGTATTATAATGTATTTTTATTATCTTTGTACTTTTCTTAAAATTAGGTTAAAAAAGATGCTCCTTGTTTTTTTTAAAATTTTAATAGGAGCAACTCAAACTACATCATGATGTAGTATGTCCAAAAAATATGGAGCTTCTTACTATAGTAATTCTTATATAAAGAATATATAGCTTCTATTCTTAATTTTTAAAATTTTAAAATATTTATTTCTAAAATTTCAATATTTTATAATTTATTTTGTATCAAATTTCTAAATTAAGTAATAAAATAGTCTTTTGAGCTTTCATATACAAAACCAACTTTAAAATCTAATATAATAAAAAAAAAAAAATAGATCAATGTGAAAGACCAGGTTTTAGGATTTAGATACTTAATACCTCTCTATACTATTTAAAACACTTTATACCCTTATAAATTCTATTCTCACACTTCAACATCTAATTCACTCAATCCACTACTCATTAATATCTTTTAATTCTTTTCTTATATCCTAAATATCTTTTTTTTATTCTTTTTTTAATCTAATGAAAAAAACTTGTGTTTGGTTCTTTGAGTAGTCTCTGTATATGATCAACTAATAAGATTTGTGATATAGAATAATAAAAAGCTCTCACATATGATCAATTAACAGGTGTTATTTTTTAATTCTAATCATAGTTCTTCCCTTGTCTAATATATCTAATTCTATCATATTCTATACATCCAAGTGTATTAGTTACAAACTTAATAACAAGTTATAAATTAGTAAAATTAATCAAAAAAATCCTATAATACTATCAATCTAGTTTCATTTTTAAAGTACCATGAAACATATATTGATATCTATTTTTGACTTCTAAGTTGAACTCTAACAACAAAATATAAACCTTTTAAATTCCATCTATATCAATTAAGCAAAAATATAAATCATAACTATAACAATAAATTGATCTTTTATGTGTTACAAATTAAGACACAAAAAATATTCATATCAAAAATTAAAATAAATCCTATATTTCTTACAAATATAATAAAATTTTAATTTAAAAAGAATTGCATTTAGAAAAATAAATTCAGTACCTTTCTATGTATGATCTTTAAATTTTATTTTTATAAGAACTTTATATAATTTAAATAAAATTTATATTATTTTATTTTTTTACAAATAAATTGATACTATATAAATATAATATAATACTAATTTCTTGTAAGATATAATTTTTGGCTAAGCTATTTTTAAAAGTATATCTATATATATATATATATATATATATAGAGAGAGAGAGAGAGAGAGAGAGAGAGATAATATCTTATAATTTTTCTATATATGAATGACACATATATGAACATTTATATGTAAATTGACATGTAAATAACATGTAAATAAAAAAAAGTCATTTTAAAAAAAAAATTGTTGAACTTTTGGTTATAATAGATAAGATTCTATTTAATTAAGTATTTAATTTTTTTAATTTTAAAATTAAAATTAAAATTTTTTCAACATCAAAATTTTCTATAGATAGATTTTTTATAAAAGAATCAACATAGTTATGATTGAGACAAAAATAATTTCTTCCAAATTTTAAAAATAAAATTTAAAATTAATAGTTTTATTTTGATATTTTGATATTTTAATATTTATATTTATTTTAATATTTATATTTATTTTAATATTATATATATATATATAAATTTATTAAAATTATTTCTAAAAAAATTAATTCTATTTAATTTAAGATAATTATTTTATTATATTTATTTTTATATCTGTTTAAAATTATATTAAAGATTTTTATAAAAAAATTAAATTTGTGTATATATATATATATATATATACAAAAAATAGAGATTATTTTGATGCCATTTGTTTGAAAATATTTCTATTTAAATATAAATATTTTCAAAGCTCATACCTATCACTTTATTGAGACATTTTTCCAATCTTAACTTCAAATTTGTTTCTTCAACATCAATGCCTATTAATCCAAAAACATTGGTTTTTTCTTCTTTTTTTTTAAAAAAAAAAAAAAAAAAAAAAAAAAAAAAACTAACTTCAATGACTTTATATCTAACTCCAATAACTTCATCTCTTCTTCAATAACAACATTCTATTCATTTATATCTAACTCCAATAACTACTTCATCTCTTCTTCAATAACAACATTCTATTCATTTGTTAACATGTGTTAGTTCTTCTTCTATATATATATATATATATATATTTGTCTTATGCTTTTGTCTTTTAATTTATTCTTCAAATAGATTTACTTCAATACTTCTTGTAAATATTATTTTTGTTTATCTTCTTCTAATATTAAAGCTATTTTATTTCTCAATGCTTATATTTTCTTTTCTTATATCAGCGCCTAATTTCCCAACTTTGATGTATTCTTCTCTAATGCCTTTTGCATTAAAGATTATCTTTTGGTTATTCCTCTACTAATTGTTTTAGAAAATATTTTTTAGATTTTAAACTTTAGATACTTTATACATATTTTTCTTAATATTAGCATTTGTTTTTCCAATTCCAGTATTCAATTTTTGAATATCTCTAATTTTAGTATTTTTATTACTTAGCAAATTTGTTTATTTTTCAATTCTTTGGTGAATCGTTTGTTTTTTCAATTCTCTCTTGGATATTTGACATAACTCTAATTCTTAACAATTTTATTTTTATTTTTATTTTTTTAATGTCTCTATTTATTTCTTTACCACCCATACCTAATTTATAGTTTAAATACTTATTTGTGTAATTTGAATACTTGATTATGTAGCATTACTCGTCCAATATCATAGTTCCATTTTCAGCAGTTTTTTTTTTTTTTTTTTTTTTTATTATTATTAAAAAAAACTAACTTTCAAAATAAATAAGTAAATAATAATAATTTATTCTCCTTTCAATGTTTTTTGAAATTGTTCGACTCCTAATACTTGGTATGTTTTCTACCTAGATACTTGTATTTGCTTCTTTACAAGAATGTAAACAATTTCAACTCCAATGAATACATGATAAGTTCCATTTTTTTTCCTCACATCTTAGATCCCATGATCTTTCTTCATTAACAAATCAACCTCCAATTTTTGGTGAATCAATGAAATTTAAATCTTTTAATTGTGATCTACATAACTATTAAAACAAATCAATTTGAAACCACAAAACCAAATATCCTCAAAGTCTAAACCCATATACCGACACAAATCATGAACACAGCATCAATATCCTACCAACTCGTCGGTTAAAAGACAACCTTAAATCCACCAAATAACACACTCAAACCAACACAAACAAATTAGAATTTTATTATGGAAACATGGAACCGAGCAGCCCCAAGGATTCGTAAACAACAAAGATACCAAAGCCTCAGCAATTCCGAACCATGCAAAACTTAGCTAAGAGGGAATTAGCGAAATGACTATGTAAACAACCCCAAGCACAGCAGCAAAAAAAAGAAACAAAGAAAAAAAGAAAAAAAGAAAAAAAGAAACATCCCCACACACACACACAACTCTCATCAAATGGAGGAGAATTGCCATGTCATGAAAATAAAGAATGAAAGAGATTTATAAGAAATGCTAATTCAAAGACCATGAAAAAGTAAGAGAGAATGTTCCGAACTTGCACTGCCATTGAAGAAACTGGCAGTAAAGTAAGAAGAATAAGAAGAAGAAGAAGCAAGCTCCTCTCCCCTTCACCCTGATTTCCCCTTGGTCGCTGTAGATCGTGTGGCTGGAGCTGAGGACGCCGATTGAATTTGAACTCGTGGTTGATTCCTGCTTGCTTGCTGGGTTTGCTTCAATCCCAGAGGTGATTCCGCTTACCACATGGCTCCGTAATTCTAGACCATGCACCAGCTTAGGTTAGGCCTCAATCTACGCGGGTCGGTAAGGGAATGCATATCTGTGTGTGTGTGTGCGTGTGGAGGTGCAAAGGGCAATTGACAAACGCGGATGGAGTTCGGCGTGGATTGTGGAGCAGTGATCATCATGGCTGCTGTCGAGGTTCGTGTCTGATGGCGTCTGTTTTGTCTGGGATGCGTTGTGGGGAGTGGATGCTCGCAGTCCACCAGGTGCTTCCGGCTTCTGTCGATTCGTGTCGTCTCAATTGGTTTCCTCCTGAAGGATTTACGTAATTTTGCGGTGCTTAGTACCCGCCGTTGATCGATTTTGGCGGTGGTTTTACTCTATCGTTGTTGCTGCTGTCGTGGTCTGTGTTTTTTTGGATTGGGGTTTTAGAGTTTGGGAGTGTATGGTGATTCTTTTGTGTTGTGAGTTGCAGCAATTGTGAAAATCCTGCACACGTGCTCTTTAGCCTTCCTGTTTGGCATTCTTGACTCTAATAGGCGGTAATCTGGCGGAGGCGAGTTTAGGGTTTTTCTTGGAATGAAGCAGATTGTGTCTGTCTCTGCATTCCCCTTCTGTGCCAGGATATGAACTATTTGTGTAATCTTGTTGATTATAAATTCATTTCTTACTATATATATATATATATATATATTTCTTTTCTTACTTTAATCTTTGGAGGAAATGAGGTGGTCGTGATTAGATTTGGGAATCCCATACGCAGATGTTTTCTTGTGAATGGAATTGTCTACCATATTGTGCATGGCAGCTGGACTAGACGCAGGGTGTGGTGTGTTGCGGAGGAAGTAATGGAGCTTTGATCTGTTCTGCGCAGGAATGAATGAGTCACCTGGTAATTTTGTATAATTAGGAGGATCTGCTTGGATTTTCTCGATCAACACAAGTCATCGACAAGAAGCTCGGTCTTGGTCCATCTACAGATTGCTGGAAATTGAGAATATAAACGGACATAGGTAGGCATGATTCGTATGATTGAGCTTGCTTCTTCAATATGACCTAGTTATGTTGTTACCAAGGGGCTAGAGGCTGAGTTCCATGCCTCCTACTCAATGTATTTGCCTCCGTTCACGGCCAGCGGGAGTTAGACAGTGGAATTGAAGAGGCTACCTGAAATCCGAGAAAAGCAACTAGAAGCTAGTGAAAGCATATGCGTTGATACAGAGCCAAAGAAGATGTATCGTAGACTGGAACCATATAGGTTTGGTTTAGGCGAGCATTGGCGTCGTCAGATTGGGGATGTGAGTCCTACTGCATTCACTCGACGCATTGGAGGTTGTGAGGTATGGAAACCACTGGGACGATGCAAGAGTACTTTTGCTGTTTGCTCATACACCTAGCTGCTAGTCTGGCAGCACATACGATTTATTTCTACCTGGGTTAGGTGTTTGTCATACCCTAAAATTGATTCATGTTGGAAGTAATGGTGCTGCAAACTTCCGCTAGAAAGTATGATAGGGACAGCTGCAGGGTCATGTCTTGCCCTGCAAAACTTCATTGTCTTCTCCCGTTCTTCACACCCGAGTTTTGTCTCGCAGGATCTCGTACGCCGTCTTGTTAAATATGCGGAATTGGACGGACATTCTGGGTGTGTAAATACAGTGTCTTTTAATCCAACTGGAGAGCTTCTAGTCTCCGGTTCAGATGACCAGGATATCATTGTGTGGAATTGGGCAAATAAAACGCAGGTTCTGTCTTACATTTCTGGTCACGAAAATAATGTTTTCCAGGCTCGAGTAATGCCATATTGCGATGACCGCATAATTGTGAGCTGTGCAGCGGATGGCCAGGTCTGTTGATGCTTTTCTCTTTCCTTGCTAAGAAGGACGTATTTTGCGTTTCTTGTAACGGGACAGTATTTTTAGTCTACTATGATCAGTCTCTCTGATTCTGTTGTCCATACTAGTTTTTTCTGATTTCGCTATTATCAATACTGGAACAGATGTTTAGGTCGTTGCTTTGGAGGCGTAGGATATACTTTTTTCAGATACGAATTCAACTTGTCAGTAAGAAGTGACTCAATTTATCACGTAATCTTGGGCTAGGTGAGGTCTGCAACTATTCTAGAGAATGGAATGGTTGTTACAAAGAAACTTGCAAAACATAGGGGTCGTGCTCACAAGATGGCGATTGAGCCTGGCAGCTCTCGTATTTTTTACAGTTGCGGAGAAGATGGGGTTGTACAACACGTATGTTTACTTTCTTCTGATTTTTCCGAGTTCTTTTTCAGGAACATAATGAATTCAGTAAACTTCTTGTTGTTCTTGTTCTAGTTCTTTCTTTTCTCTTTTTTTTTTTAAAAGTTGAAATTTCCTTATTGATCGTCAGGAATGCGTAAACTTCCTCTGGAAAACCGCTTATGGATTGGCTCAAGTATTTAGAGTTTTTCTGTTAATTCGAATAGAAATCTGGATTCTCTTTTGACTACCTATTGAATATGTTTGCCAAGTCGCACTATGAGCTTACTTAGGAACCCATACAATGTAGAGTTCCACTCCCCTGTAGATCATGCTGCTATGGTTGAAATGGAGCACTTGTCCTATTCAAAAATGTGTACATCCTGCTCAGAAACATTTATTCTTTTGTTTGGAGGTCTTCGTTTGGTTGTTCATATTTCATCCGAGTAAAATTTATTTTTCTTTTTCTTATCCTACTGTCTCACTGAATTATTGTTCCCAGTTTGACTTGCGGGAGGAGAAAGCCACGAAGCTCCTCACTTGTCATCAATTTGGAAAGAATAGTGGTAAACCAAGCCGGTCAAGAGTAGTTCGACTAAATGTCATTGTCACGCACCCAATAAATTTGAACTACTTTACAGTAGGAGGCTCCGACCAGTATGCACGCGTGTATGATATTCGACGCTTAACTGCAAACGGTTCTGAAATGGAAGATCAACCGGTTGAGACATATGCTCCTAAACACTTGTTAGGGCCAGGTAAATCTCGCTGCGAATTTCAGAGGACTGGAACCCGTGAATATGCGAAAGATGAAACTATCACTGCATAGTGTGACAGTTTTTCCTCATTGATTTGAGACATCTATTCTTCCAAAGTATTTATGCATCTTTTCTTAACCATGGATGTGCAGGTCACGATGAACATATAACATGCGTTGCATACTCGCACCAAGAGGAGCTTCTTGTTTCCTACAACGACGAACTTATTTATCTCTTTGATAAATCCATGAGCTTGGGATCTAGTCCGCACAAAAACGTGGAAGAAAATGAGAAAGAAGGAGATGGTGGCGAGGCTTCCAATCAAGGAAATACTCAACCGCAAGTGTACGAAGGACACCGAAACCACCAGACTGTGAAGGGGGTCAACTTCTTTGGCCCAAATACAGAATATGTCGTGAGTGGATCGGATTGTGGAAGAATTTTTATCTGGAAGAAGAAGGGAGGGAAGCTTGTTGCTTTGATGAAGGGAGATGATACTGTAGTAAACTGTCTGGAACCCCATCCATATGCTACTATTCTGGCAACTAGTGGCATTGAAGATACCATTAAAATCTGGTCTCCAGAGTCGGAGCGTATTCTTGACCTCCCACATGATACCGACAGGGTATGTCTGTGCCCACGTGGTTGGTGGTCGTTGTTGTTTTTGTTTTGGCTCTGTTGGAATGCTTTTCATGGTAACTTATTGATAATATTGGGAAGTTTATGGTGTTTTGAACTTCTACATGTTTTATTTCTGTTTTCGGTTATACCTATCTTTTAAGCTGTCATTAGGCATGGCGGACGTACTGTTTTGCCATTTTTTTGTTTTGTTTTGTTTTGTTTTTGTACATTGCAACGTGATTCTAAAATTATTATGCAGATCATGAGAATCAACAAACGAAGGAGAGAAAGTCAAGCAAACAACATTCAACTCACCCCTGGTCTTGTGAGAAGGTTGTTGCTGTCGCGGCATCTGCACATGCCAAATTACAATGAAGGTGGTACTAACACTCAAGTTTCTTTCGAGGGTGGGTATGCTGATGACGATGGAGGCGTGGTGGACAGTGACTTTGACGAGGATGACTCCTTCGAAGAAGGCGACATTGGCAACCCACGTGAATGCATCATTAGCTGAAAATTGCTGAATGCTGGTGGAATACGAACTAATTGTTTACATGTATACAGAAACTGTTGTAGACGAGGCAAGAACTGCGCTCCAGTTTTCAAGAACAGACCAAGCGATTTTGACAGTTTGTGTAGATATTTGTTATTTCAGTTGTGTATAAATATGGGCATAATCAAATTTACAGAGTGAAGGCTAGGCAAGGTATTGGCAGGTACAAACATGCATTCAAGAAAGGTGTTAAGCGATTACATAGCAATACTTGGCAGTTTTCTAGTAAGAATGCTGGGTTTTATGCTGGGATTTATGCAAATTTTTGCATGCAGATCATCTCCAGTCCTATTCATGCCGAATGTGCGAGGCATTCAACTGATCAGCTCTTTACTTACGTTAGCGAGATCTCTTGTTTTGAGTTAAACGTGGTAGCTGGATTCTGGTCTTGTTCATAAGTAGTTCCGTTTTATGATTCGCTGGCTCACAACTCCCGTTCGGGACCTAGCATGTAGGAGTTGCAATTATGTGTGAATTTGAAGGAAATTCCACTCTGAAAACCTGAACTTCTGTACGACTGCCACTTATTAGAACCACTGCAAGGATACGCTAATTCTGCTTAGAGAGCGTCGAATTGGCGAGCATTCTTTGAAGCAGAGTCTACCCTTCGATTAAAGTACACAAGAAGGCTCGAGAAACTCTGCCACGGACGTTTGGTTCACAAATTCCGCAACGCTGTGCTATGTGTGGCACTAGGACTTTCCAAGGATTGTATGACTTTCTTTAAGAATGACCGGAGGAAGCTTTGACCCTCCAGACTGCAGACTGCGGATGTTATACTGATGGACCCCACGGCTGGGTTTTGACCTCAGGGATCGTGATCCAGTTTTTGTTTGTTGAGCAATACTTTTGGAGGTTCCTTTCAATCATCAATCCCACTTTTTGATTACTTTACTTTACTTTACTTTACTTTTTTTTTTTTTTTTTGACACAAATAGAAGGATCTCCTATTGCAGAATGAAAGAATATTATACTATAAGGGCCTAGCCAGTTCCGGCCAGGACCAGTAAGCCAAATTAACTTTACCTATATTACAAATCCCTAGGTCCTACCAACTTCCATTGAGGCTGTCCAGTCGTCCAGGATGCTAAGATGTTGTGTGTACACCGTACAGTGTTCCAAACTGTGAATGTGATAGTTCGGATTGTTCTTATGTCTACTATTTAACTGAATCCATGCAATCCTTCCATAGTCAACTAAATTCAACCAAATCTGGTTAAATTCAAACAAATCTTGGCATTCCAAAGGAGACCATTGAACACTCCATCATTTTGTTCCATCCACAGCAGCCATATGATGGTTCCATGTAAGAATAACCACATCCTACAAACATGTTTGAAATCCCTAGGAGTAGAGTGGGCAAAGATACAATGTTTTGACAAAGGGGAGAAGGTTTAGTCACTTTCTCTAATATCCCGGTGCCTCAAGAGCACATGTGATTCTGTACAGATGTAAGTCCTGGTATAAGGCATATCAAGATGTGTATCCCTCAACCCCACTTTTATTGTATTGATGAGCATTCCCAAAACCTATGGAAGACTATCTCACATATGCCATTTAGATATATGTTGCAACATTAGTCAATTTTGTTGCTTACTTATCCTCTCTATGCCAAATGAGCCACATCAACCATGCTTCTTTTCTAATACAATCTTTATTTTATGTGCTAAACCATTTCAATTTATTATTTTATAGAAGAATACTTGACACTTGGCATGTATTAATGGAAAGATGACATTTTTTTTTTTTTGAGCAATTCTTGTCCAAGTACCACAGTATAATTGTCTTCTCAGTTAAAGTGGCTAAAATCCCACTTTAATTAATTGACTTTCTTGTAGAAGAGTAAAATTTGAGTTTTCTTCGAACCTCTTTATATTGGAACTACACTCACTTTTTCAATGTAATCTTTAGCCTAGATTCTAGTCAAGAGAGTAAAATTATTCTTTATATTAAAAGGGTAACATTTTTCTCTTAAAAAAAAATCCAAATAGGCATATAATTAACTAAGGATATATATTGGCATCTTTGTCAAGATCCAATACTTATAATGGTCTATGCTTAGTTAAAATACTACAAAGACTTGTTACAAGAATATGGAATATTAAATGACATCATTTGTAAAAGATTTCAATCACCCTTCAATTGTATATGGAATATAGTGAAGTGGTAGTAAGATACTTTAAGTTTGTTGTAACTCAAGCATGAGATAAGAAAGCCCAAGTATATATATATATATATATATATATATATATATCACTTTTAGGATAAATTACACCAAATATATAAGTCTTAAATTCCCAAAAACATCCAAAATATGATAAAAAAAAACTCTAAATCCTTATATATCCTTATAGGGTATTATTTCCAAACTTCAACAACTCATATCTCTCAATCGGATTATTCAAACACACTCAAATTTTACATGAAGTATTGATGTACTTCTAAAAACTACCACAACAAATTTCATCTGCAGATTTGTTGCGAAACTTAAGATATCGTCAAAATCCTAACAATAGCTTCAAACCCTAATTTTTATACACCTACGTACAATTTTCTTCATAACTCACAAACTAAGTACTCAAATGCCACAAAATTTTATGTATAGCTTTTTAATACATTAATCTACCTTTTTCTAAAAGGTTTGAGCTAAAAATTTGTCCAAAAACTCAAGATATGGCTCCAACCATTACTATGAATAAAATCACTTACTTATTGCCTTTGATTTGGATGCACTAACTTCAACTCTCTATAACTTCTTCATCTAAACTCCAAACATAATAATTCTTCTATAAAAGACATAAGTCATGAAATCGCCATTCCAAATGTACCTTTTGATTTCCAAAAACTATCGTAAAATCCCTCATAAGCTCAAAAGAGCAACAGTATGTCTTAAAATGATACCTTAACTTCAAACATCTATAATTCTTCATCCTAAATCCAAACTTACTCATTTTTACATCCAAATTGTAGTCCAAATTCTAAATCTTACAACCTTAGCTTTCAATTATCAAATATTTGTTAAAAAGTTGCCGAAATTGTTGTTATGGGCACAGACAATTTGCTGAATGGCCATTAGGCATGGCCTTTGACCAATTGGGATAAAGATCTTTACCTTTTGCCTTCATTTGACCATGTTTTGATTTCATCCCTCCCCATAAGCCTCTTAGTAGTTTAGATTTTCATCCTAGGCTTCTACCTTCTTTTAAAGCTTTATACTAAACATCTAAATCTTATATAATTTAAATATTATAATAAAAATAGATAAAATTTAAAATAAAGTTTCTTATATCTACTCTCTTTATATTAATTATTAGCCATTCTAACACACATCAAGACTTATGAATATAAAATATGTTTTAACTAATTTTTACATACTATAAGCATTTATAATATGACAACGGTATGCCAAATGCCTATCTTATGTGATAGAAGTTCAAATTTATTAAAGGCTTTTTTGGTAGAAAGAAAGTGATTATTCTTCCATATATTAAGAAAGACATCTATTTCTTATGTTAATTTAAATCATTTGTCGTGGACATACACATATAAATCAATAATTACGTATATGATTAAATAAAAGTAGATAAAAGTAAGTAAAAATAAGTTAATTCCATAATATCTTATATAGAAGCTTTTTAGAAGCTTTATACATGCTTCTTTGACTTTGTAGGTATTTGTAATTGACTTTTTAGATTAGAAACATGGTCAACAAATTAGCCATGTGCCACACATATTGGTAGCTTGAAGAACAAGCTAACTATGTTGTGCACATATAAAAAACTTGCCTTGTAAGCTAAAGCATGTATCTTGCAAAGTCAATACATATTAGAGGTCCTATAGAACATCACCACGTAGCTTCTAATTAGATAATATATATATAGAGGCAAGAGTGAAGCCTTCTTTACTCTTGTCAATTCCTTTCTTACTTCTAGTCTAGATTCAAGAGTCTCTAATTTTCTTATCTTTTGGCAATAGCCATTCTAATTTTCTTTTAATATACTTATTATTTTATTTCTATTTTGTCACTTTTTTTTGACATAAATTTTCTAGATTTATGCATATTTTTCAATCCATGTCTTTGATAGATTCATAAGAATACACTTATAATATTAGAGTTTTATCTTTTTTTTTATTAAGAATAGATTACTCTTTTTTCTTAATAAGACATAAGTATATTAGAAGTTGTAGATTATTCTCTTCAAAACTAATATTTTTCTTAGTATCTTCTTTGTTTTTAAGTCCTTTCTTGTACTTGTCTTGAGCAATATTAGACATTAATTTTTTAAGTATTATTATTATAGAGCTTGTTGAAACAAACAGTGCAATAACACAAATGAAAGAACAATTGAGGGAGTTGATACTTACAATGCATCAACTTAGTTTACCACGATAAGGAGCAACAAGAACGGGAGGAAGTAAAGATATAAATATGATTGGAGCTGCTTCAATATCTGTACCAAATTATGTCCCTTTTCTTATGATGGAACATCCTTTCGGTACGAGAGAACTAAGAATTGCCTTATCTAAGAAGTTTAATGGCACAAGATCCAAGTTTTGAGGATTTATCAATCAAGCATAATTTGTGATTGAACTTCAATCCCAAAGCTATCCAACTTTAGAATCACAAGTTAGATTTATTCGTATACTTCTTTTAGGTTAAGTATTATCATAGTTTTCATCTTTTCTTGAATGATGAGATCTAATACTACATAATTTGGAGGCTTTTTTGACAAAGTTTCAATCCATGTATGAAGAACATGATGCAATTCGTATTACAACTAAGAAGATCTATATTTTGCAATAAGGTAATAAATTTATAATATTTTATGCTTCACAATTTTGACAACTTGCAATTGATATCAAATAGGATGATATTTTACTGATTAGTCAATTTTTCTACAGATTACAATATGATGTAAAAAAATTGATGCTCAACTTATTTAATCCTCAAACATTGAGTCAAGCGATTCATTTTACTATAAAGTATAATTTCAATGTGAGAGTCGGACAAGTAGCCCTCAACATTACTATAATTCAATGGCAACACTAATGCTTCTTCAACACATACATTCAAAAGTAGAGAATATGTAAATTGATGTAGTATGTTTCAAACCTCTTACTGAGCAAGAAAAGACTAGTTGCCATTTTCATATTGCATGGTTTTCTATCTGGGGATACACTAGATAACTAGTTGTAGAAAATTTAGTTTTAACTTATTGACCAAGTTCCATTAAGTTATTTGACATTTAAAGTAGAAAATAAATAAATATTACAATATCAAAAAGATATTATACATATAAAACCTTATATATTTAAGAAGGTTTGTACATAAGGCTTTCTAAAATATCTAAAAATTCCCTAATATTCTTGGCTATACCAAATCATAAGTAACTATTTGCTAATAAGTTAGATTTTCAATAATTCCAAAGAAAATCCATAATCTCCCTCAAAAGCTCATCTTTATATCAAAATTTAACCATAGCTCCATATATCCATCTTCAACATACATATAAAGTCTTGACTTTTAAAAAACCCCTTTATTTTGTATAAAATGCTCAAACTGTAATAAAATTCCTTCAAAATATATTTTTCTTGCAAAGGATTTTTTTCTTCTCAAATTTTAGAAATTCATATCTCTTGATTCAACTACTCAATTTTGTTAAATTTATAAATAATATAGAATTTACCCTTAAGCATTACTACAAAAAAATTCAACTCTAAGTTTGCTACCAATCGTTTGGCATATTAAAAATCCTAGTAGAT